GGTCCCCAATAAGACCCTAAACTTAGTACACATACATTTTCCTAGAAGCCAAGCCATTAATTAGGGAAAAGATATGCTGGAAAAAATGAAGACGAAACATTGCAATACTCACCTAAGATAAAGTTGAAACAATCTCATCTATTTTCTTTAACATTACACAGGACTGAGCAACATATAATTGCATATATATATATATATATATATGAATATTTGGTCCAATAGTTACAACTTTCATATGAAATCTATTCAGGACACCCAAGAACTGTAATGTGCTATTGAAATTCAACAGCAAAAATGTTAAACAAGTTTAGCTCAAAAGCAAGAATATCAAAGCCAGACCGAATGAACGTTAAACAAGTAGTTGAGCCTTCAAATCTTACAGGTAAAAACACCTCAGAGCAAAACCCCCTTCAATCAAAGAGTACTATCAGAATGCAAGTAGAAATGTTAGGATGACACCATAAAGCTAAGTAATAACAAAGATACCTAAAACACCTAAAAACTCTGCAATCCTTAAATAGAAAACCAAGGTATTGTTACAACTTACAACATTATCAAACTCAAATCGAGATTATCATTTGAAGATCAACATTTTTCTCCAATATCAAGAATGAAGAGACGCGATTTCATAAATTCAAGAAAAGAAACCCATAACAGAAACAAAGCACAAACACTACCAGGAAAAACATTAGTATTGAAAACATCTTAGCAATCAAATTAATGCTACCAAAGACTCGGACTTGCCTCTAGAGTCATCCAATTTATATCTAACATATCAATTTTAACGATTTTTTATTACCTCTAAAGCATGCTTGAAACGTCTGAACTTCCTGAGATCCTTAACCACTTTACAAAGCTCCCATTTGGAGAGTTTCTTACCCTCATTTTCCATCTGGTTCAACACAGAAGCAGAGCCCATTTGTGGGTTCTCCAGCATCGATATTCTCTTGGATATTGAATTCCATTTTGAAATAGCCCTTTTTTCATAGTCCACTGTTCCCTGGGTATTACTCTTTGAGATTGATGAACCCTTTATCAAGATTGGATTTTTAT